CGAAAGTTGTAAACAACACCATATAAGGATAGGCATTCCATATTTGGAAAAACGAACGTTACGGGGCAGATATTCAAATTCATTCGTCATCAATGCAGGCTCTCAATTCAGCTTGAGAGCCTGTTCGCAGGCTATATTTTTGCTAGTTTTTAATCTTGTAATATTGTGCTTTATGTAACAAAACTGATCTAACACAGCTGTTCTTTCACAGCTTTTTCAAATTCTTTAATCGTTTGTTTTTTTAAAAAGTAGAATAGTTGGTCCACAAATAACAAGTGGATTCACTGAACGCTACACACACCCTAATTTGCATAATTAACGTATTCTCAGTCAAGCGAATGTATAGCGGTCAGTGCAGGAACGCCTACTTGTTCCTAGACTCCCAAGGAATGCACTCGATCAACTATGGCGGATTCTTTATCATAGCTATTTACAAGTGATTTATATTGGGTTGTTTTGTCCTAAATTTTGTGGATTTCTTTCTCAAAATGAGAGACAGACTACGGGCATTACAGGTACGTTTAATCCCGGTTGTTATGACATCCGATCCTTTTTGTATCATGAAATATTCACCATTTAATGCCTTATGTGAGTAGAGCACTTTTGATGTAACTGGGTTAGGCCACTTTACATATTTTTCTTATTTCTCTTTCCTTAGGCTGCCGCCATAAAAACGGATGATTTCTCCAGCGAATATGATGACCATACTGTTGATATCACGGGCGAGTTTATGCCAGACTTTTTCGACGAGGTAGTTTTTGTAAACAAGTCCCGATCTTTTAGTGTAAATACTAATGTAAATACACAAGATGTATGAGACTAATTTGTGGTGAGAAATGCTGTCATTTACAAAAGTTAAATAGGATTTCTTTATACCGACTGTGTAGGTCGATGAAATTCGCAATAGCATCGAGGCGATCAATCGTAATATCGATGATGTCAGGAAAAAACACAGTGCTATTTTATCATCACCAGTGCCAAATGAACGTAAGTAAATATAATGTTTGTTTTGATGGGATATAGCTGTTTTAACTCTACGGAAATTGTCAAAGTTCTGTAGGATAATTAGTTAATGTGCACATTGAACAATATAGATGTGTATTCATGTATGCATTTAATATTTTGTAATAATAATTTGTGCAAAAGTTGTCAGTGACCCTTTACTTTGGCTACTATTTTAACCCATTAGATGGCAACACTCCCCTTGAAGAGTAAAATCTTCTTGTGTTAGACAGAGTAAAATGATAAAGTAGGGTGCATCAGGGCACACATTGCCACTTAAAGGGTTAACAAGATGCATTGGCAGATAGTCTGATTAACCCATGGAGTAGCAGCACTCTCCCCTTGAAGAGTAAAATCATCTGGCATTAGACAAAGTAAAATAATGAAACAAGGCACATCAGGGTCACAGAGTAGAGACATACAGAGACGTAACTGACCATCATAAACACTGCGGAATCTTATGTTATCATGTACCCACTTTATTTCAGGCGACCGGGCGAAAAATGATCAACTGCGCGTGCTCAACAAGTTTAAAGTCAATCGTCATCAGGTCGTTATCCAATCAGATGCATGCATCTAGTAACTTGCCGAGCATGCGCACAAAAAAAGTGGGTACACTAGTTACATCTCTGTATGTCTCTACTCTGTGTGAGGGTGCATTGACACTTAAAGGGTTAACAGGATTAGTGACGATCGATTACAGACTGATTATGAATGATTAGACAGTAAAATAATGAAAATACTCAGAGGTGCAGCCAGGGGGGGGGATTGGGGGCACTTCTCTTCACAACCAATTATTTAATTATTTCTTTTAAAAATGAGGAGAAGGGGGGGGGGGGGCATGAGCTCTTAATGTTTTCATCATCTTGAAAACTGAAATAGTGTTTTGCTGACCCTGTTGCAATCAGCTAAAAAACAGAAAATACTTTGATGTGCAAGTGAAGTCTTTGTTTGAAATGTTGAAAGGTTTTCAGTATTTGTGAGGTAGATCAACCTAGCCCAACGTACACTGGATTCATGCTCAAGACCGATACATTAATGTTATTTTAGAGATTAACTCTGAGCTTGAGATGTTGATGAATTCAATTAAAAAAGATGCAAACAGCGTGAGAAGCAAACTGAAAGGTATATATGTTCAGTTTTACAGTAAAATTCATAGCAATTCTGTTTGTATTTTTGTTCATCATGATCATCTTTTAGTGTACATTATAACAGTCATTGCGATTGTTTTTATTATTTAGTTATGGAACAAAGGATCCAGGAAGATCAGTCTGTTGTACAAGCCGCAGACACGAGAATACGAAAAGCACAGGTTGGCACTTCTCACCATTACAACTTTAACCCATTGAGCCGCAATGCGCCCTACTTATTTTCTTTTACTTGTCTAACGCCAGACAATTTTACTCATCAATGGGGAAGCCCCGCAGCTTAATGGGTTAAAGCTCAAGACTCCTCTTGACAGCTGTTCAAAATTTAAGACAGCTCAGCAGACTAGCTAAGACCATGATCAGGAGTTAACTTTCATTATCATGCACACACTCCTAAGAATGTTTATTACTAGTTTGTAATGCACTATCAGTATTTAATTAAGTACTGTTGATATTTTAGCACGCTTCATTGTCGCGAGATTTTGTGGACGTTATGAGCGAATATAACACTATCCAAGTTGGCTATCGAGAAAAATGTAAAGAAAGAATTCAGAGACAGCTTGAAATAAGTAAGTCATACTAGTAACTGAAATGTAGTATGCGGACAATGTTAATTTCTTGTGTCAGTTCTGCTATTCCTACGATATGCAGCAAAGGCCATCCTATTTTAGTGCAACAGTTCACAACCAAACTGGTGTTTGGACAGCCACATCTGTAGTAGAAATCATTGTGGAGAATGTGTCATAATTTTACTCATTTTTCTAGCGGGAAAATCAAGTACAAGTGACGAAGTCGAAGATATGCTCGAAAAGAAGAATGTTGCTATATTTACATCTGGTGTAAGTATAGAAACATTTTCTTTTGTCTTTATTTCCAATAAAGTTGCCAACTTGTTCCTCATATTTACCACAAAAGAAAATTTTCATATGTTGTGTTTTTCATTTCTAGATAATCACAGAAACTCAGCAGGCACGGCAAGCTCTGGGTGACATTGAAGCGAGACACAAAGACATCTTAAACCTTGAAAACAGTATCAGGGTGAGAATAAAAACATATTTTGCACTGAGTATATTGCAAACCCTTCCTGACAATGTCTTTTGCTGTTTTAGCAACTACATGAAATGTTTTTGGATATGGCTATGTTGGTTGAGAATCAGGTACTTAATATTGAGTTAATTTTGCAGGGATGGATTTACTGGGGGTGTGCGGGGGGGGTGCACCCCCCATAGCCCTGGCCAGAGGGGGTGCATGGAGGTGCTATTTTTCATGATAAAGCAAAAAAATATTAGAGACGAAATGAGATATTAATTTGAGTAATAACATGATGATAAGCGAACTGTGAACAACAATTCAAATTCAAATACAGTAGTCAAGCAAGACTTTGCAGTAGTGAAGCAAGTTGATGGGCGGGCGGCACACAAGACCGACACAACTCGGCACCAGAGCTGGCAGAGCACCCCCTACCAGATCATGCTGGATCCATCCCTGTAATTTTGAATGGTCTCTGCCAATGTAGGTAGTTCCAATAACAGAGTTGTAGACTCGAGTCGTGTGACTTGGACTCGAGTCTGACTCGAGTCGCAATTTTTGTGACTTGTGACTTGACTTGTTAAAGAGACTGATGACTTGTGACTTGACTTGGACTTGGACAAAATGACTTGTGACTTGACTTGGACTTGCAAGAAATGACTTGTTACCAATGCAAGTCAAACGTAAATATCTAGTGAAAATCAAGTTTTCCAAAATCTTTGTGTTGATCGATCGATCGTTGTGTTGTACAATTTGGGCAACAACCTTAGTACATATCAATGGCATCGACAGAATTTGTGCTGGCGTATTTTCTGAAAAAGCGTTTTCTTCTCTCGATTTCGTGGTAAAATTTCTGACATAAAATAACGACGCCATATTTACATATTTTGCAAGGAGTGGCCCGTTCTGTACAGTACAATCATCTTTGAGAATCATATATACTTCAAAATACTTGCTATATTCTTGTAATATGCCATTGAATTGTTGTCATATGGAAACAGTATAAATTTTGTTAAATAGAGGTCTCAAAAGCGATTGTGAAAGTCGTAGGATCGTAGCGCCTTGCTGGTCTTACAGCAAACGTTACACATTTGGACACTAGCCAAGTAGACATTGAATGTCCATTCTATTGATTCTAAAACTGTTTATAGACATAGTGATCTAGATTT